AATGAAAATGTTATTTTATATATAACTTTTAAAATAATCATTTAAAAATAATAATTTTACTAGAACGATTTATGATTATATAAAGAAAAATTAAAAAGTTATATTCTGTTAATATATTTTAACTAAATTCTTTTTAATAAAATATATATGACATTGTTTGCATGAAGTTATCAATTTAATTTCCTTCACATGTAGTAACTTTTCTTCCTTTTTATTTTTCCACATTGTCGTTTGATAGTATATATGTGTAACGCATTGGAAAAGCCAACATAAGTCAATGAAATCTCTTGGTTAACGACTCTATCATTGACCAATGAAACACAACTTAATTAATAATGTTGTCAATGACCAAACTTCATGCGCGTATATGCATATATTGTTGTCAATATGCTGATTGAAAAAAAAAATTAAACAAATATGTGACACACATTTTTTTTTATTAGTGTGATATTATTTATTTAATTTTAAATTCTCATAATTTTGTTTTTATTGTTTTTTAAATGATTTCATATTAATGAAAATTATGCTTGTTTTTATAAATCTTTATTTTATGAGATTTTATTTATATTTTAACTAATCTCCTCTTAAACAAATGACTATGGTCTATTCTCTTTTTAGTAGAAAACTTTTTTTCATTTATTAGTATTCAATGATAACTCTTAAAGTTTTAGTCACATCTTCTCGCTCTAGATACTTGCAATGTTGTTAACTCACATAAGAGGGATACATTGTTTGACTTCTACACTATTAGAAAGATTTTTGACACAAGAAATCTCACATTTGTACCATCACCTTTCATTGTTAAATATTCGTTTGAGATTCTGAGTCGATTACTTGGTCAACAATTGACTTTGATATCATTATTGAGCACCGAGGATTCATACATACATGTCTTATTATTAGTATGATATTATCTACTTTTTAACTAATTAAACTCTTATAATTTTATTTTTTGTCATCTTTTAAAAGGTCTTATATAAATAAAAACTATGTATATTTTACAATTTTTTTTTATAATTTAATAATGTTGGACTTTATTTGTATCCTAATGCAAGTGTAATATTTTAATTCAACTGATTAATTAGGTAGATCCAATTTTCAAAACAGTAATTTAATTTACATATTCTTTTTGGTGGTCATGAGGTATCCTGATGTCTTAAATAGT